TTTTAAAAAAGGTGATGATATTTTTTTCAAACAAAGTTCTTTTTTTTGTGCAGCTGTAAGAGACTTTCATTTTTTTTAAAGGTTCATCTTGTTTGTTAATAGGTTGATTAAGTTGTTTCTTTGAGTTTACTTTTAGCATTATTGGCATTATGCAAAGAAAAAATATGTAAAAAATAAAATATGTAAAAAAATATAACATATAAGACACAAATATTTATTCATTTTTTAATTTTATTTAAAAACTAGGTACAGAGAACTACATAATTTTATATACATAAATCTAGTAAAATTCATTTTAAGCAAAACTTCGTTGTATTAAAAAAAAATTTATTATAGAGAAAATTCGTTATAAAAAGAGTCATTTTATATATGAATTTTTCTGACTTTAATTTGTTAAATATAGTACAAATTTTAATTATTAAATTTGGTATAGTAAGGATTTTTTTTATATTTAAAAATCTGTCTGATACAATTATATCAAAATTTGTTATAGAAAGAATTGACTGTATAAAAAAATTTATAGCATATATTTTTACATATTTATTATAAATAACTTTTATATGTAAATAAAATTTACAAATCTAGAAATGTTTTTTGCATATTTTAATCAATTTACCATTATTACAGCATCATCTATCGCTCTTTTTACATCATTTAAATCACCTTTAATTATATTTTTATTACCATTATCAATAGACTCATTTCTAACTAATTTCTTTATTAAATTTGTTAACATTTTTTTTGATTTCATTCTATAGGTAATCTAAACATATAAAATATTTAAATTGATATTTTTACAAGCAATAACTATGGTAATCATGTCTACATGCTAGAATATTATCATTAAATAAATTATAAATATAATTACAATAGGTGAAATCACAAAATAGAAGTATTTAATTTTCTAGAAGTAATAAAATCTTTTAGTAGATGATGATCAGTTATTTTATAATTCAATGAAGGTAACTTATATATATTAATACTATCAGATGAAAATTTAACAATTAAAGAATACTGATTACATATTTGATATATTTTTGTAAATTTTTAAAAGTTATATAATACACTTTTTGAGAAAATATATCAGTGTATATAGATATTTTATAGAATACATAAAATGTTATTAAAAAGAATTATTTTGTTACTGCTGAAAAATAAATGTATTTCTTTCTATAATTATTGAACTGTGAAGAATTAGCAATACATTATCGAATAATACTATAAATAAGTTTTACAGAATAATCACTTAAAGAAGCAAAATAGTTAGTAAATATATGAATAATAGGATAACCAGTTTCTATCCAATAAAAAATGTCGAAAAAAATATTAAAAGAGTATACTTAGTATACTTATAATTTTTTTGATTAAACTGAAGAAAAAGGTTACTTTAGCAATAAATACAAGCTTCTTTATAAGCTGGCCAATTACTTTTCCAATGATATACTACATAAATATTAAGAATTAAAGGAATTAAATTACTCAAAAGATCTGTCAGATATAAAAAATTTAATATTTTTATATAAATGACCAAATTTTAAATAAATAAAATCGGCTATTTTAGATTATGTTATATATATAATATAAAGAATTAAGTCAATTCTCTATAGTTATAACTTCTTACTAAGATTTTTATATGTTTTAAATATACCTTTATAAATATTATTAATAAATGTAAGTATTTCAAAAAACAAATTCAAGAGTATTTAATAATATATAAAGAGGATCCACAATTGACAAAAATGATGTAATAAATTAAGAGATAGTTTTATTGTTAATAAGAACATATTATACAATAGCTTTCTGAATGAAAAGTTGACTAGACCAATCAATAACAGCAGAAATAGCATATTGGGAAAGATATGCTTGTATTTGTTCTTGATTATACACAATTTTAAGTGTATTTATATATTCTTCTACATCTTTTAAGTTATTTTCAATAAAATCAAAAAGAATGAAATTCTGTATATACTTTCACTTCTTTTTTCAACTAATCTATCATTGTAATTATGTAATATTAATCTATTTATAATCTTTTGATCAGAACATTCTTTTTTAACTAAATCTTACATATAATTATAAGAAACATCAAGATTTACAATAAACTGCCTGTTAAGATATCTTATAACTAATTTACTATTAAAAATGACATTATAATTAGTTATTTTTTAAGATTTAGGATTATTACATGACTTTTACAGCTGAGTTTAGCAGCTATTTCTCTTAAAGTAAAGCTATTTTCAATCAATATAAAGAGCTTGTGCTCTTTTTTTTATGATAAGTTTAGTTTTTAAATTATTTATAAAAAAGTTAATTTTAAAATTATGGAAGTAAATAAATACTTTTATTAATGTTTTATTATTAAATATTAAAAAAATTTTATTAAAATTAAATTAAAAAAAAAGAAAAGTGACAAAAATAACTAACTATAATTTTAATATAAATGATTACATAATATTGATTTTTGTTATACTATTTTAAAGATCTATATTTATATTATTTATATTGAAAATATTAGATTAAATGAGTTTGTTTTGATCAGCAAACACGTGATTTTTGTTTAAAAAAATTTGGTCAATTATTTTTGTAAGCCAGTATATATGTTAAAATACTTTAATAACCAGTATTTTAATTATAATAAATGTTGTTAAAATTTTATATATTAAAAATATAAAAAGTTTTTTCAATAAATACTTATAAAATACATATTAAGACTATGTAACTAAATAAAAAAGAAAAAAAAGTATATGTATTTTAAAATAAATAATCTAGTAAATAGAAGTTAGCAAATTGTAAAAAAAATCTAAATATATAAATTAATCTATTAATTAAAGAGATACAGTCATCTTCTTTTATAATCACATCCTTCAAGACCAAAAATAAAAAGTGTTGATTATAATACAAAGTAATTATATATAAGAATTTTTATATAGTTAATTCTCTATAAATGCACTCTTTATAAATACATACCCTTTATAAATACATCTTTTTATCTGATCACAACTTGAACCTTAATGCTAAATGCATATTTATTATATAAATATTCTGTAAATTCATTCTTTATAAAAAAAATTTTATATAGTTTACTTATAAATTTTTTGTATTACCTTAATTTTAGATTAATATTAGAGAGTTGACTGTATATTATTACTAAATGTTGGTTCTGAAAGGGTGTGACTATAAAAACGCTGTGATTATAAAGGGTTTTTTTATGTAGCTTTAATAGGTATTGGTTCTTACGAAATATGTGAGGGATTTATATGATGTGATTATACAGTGGGTGACTATAGAGGGGGACGAATGTAATAAAATTAATAAAATTATAACAATAATAACAATTATAACGATAAGTAAATAGTAATTAAGAGATAAATTAATTCTTTGAAATTTAAATTTTTAATAAAATTAATAAATTGATTAAAAAATTTTAAATTTAAGAAAAAATCAAAAATGGGGTTAATATCGGAGATTACGGAATATTTTATCTTTTTATATGTCTATATATGGAAAGCCATTTTAAAGAAAATATCAAATTTTCGTTTTGTGGGATAATGTGCGAACTTTTCGGAAATTTCCATAGGCAATTCAATAAGTTACACATTATTAATCTCATATCTCAAATTAGTAGAACATATAAAACAATTGCTCGGTCAATAATGACAATCCCTTTCAGAAACTAATTCATACATTTTATAAAGCAAACATTCTATAGTTTATGACTTATTAAAAATTGCAAAAAAAAAAAAAATAGAAAAGAAAATAAGGAAAAGAGAAAAAAAAAAAACTTTGATTTGTTCTTAATAGGATAGACACAAGTTTTACATATTTGTATTTTTTATTTTATTTTTACCTTTTTTGTTGGTTTAGGTCATATTTACCGTTGCGTTTTAGGTTTCGACAAAATTGGCTTATATTTTGAGCAATTTTATCGATTTGGCGTCAAAGGTATAAGTTAGGGTTAACCTTTTGAAATGACACGCAGTTGGATATAGCAATATTTTCTCTATAATGACTTGGTTTTATGTGCTCCTGATTAGTTAAACATACACTTCAAACGTAACATAAAATAGTGAATTGAAGAAACAGAATTTCTGAGGCCATAAGGTAAATTATTTCAGAATATATCGTACTTGTAATTTAATTTTCTATCAGAATTTAATGTTTAAAATTAAATAGAATGGGTCGTAAAGATTTCGTTCAAGACGTCAAAATTCTTAAAGAACATTTTCGTGGCTTGAACTCAAAAAGTGCTTCCTTGGTTCAAGGTAAACGGCAAATCGTAGTTTTTATTCGCGTCATTTCAATTAATAATAATTTATGCTAATAATTTGTTTGTTTTTTATTTTGCAGGTTTTGATTTTCAAGATCCAGAGTTAAGCTTTAAGTTTGGATACAGGATTGGGAAATCAATCACTGTTCAGATTTTTGTGAACGGTAAGGTGACCAAACTTCAAGTATACATATAAATTTGACTGCCACTTCCTCACAGGATCTACTTAAAATTTAAGTTGTGTTTATGTTTCCGGTAATTTTGCATTCGGAGGCCATATTGATTAAACCATGCGGGTTTTTCTTTATTGGCTTTCCAAGACTCGTCATTACAGTCGTACCCTACCAAATTTAGCGCGTTTGTCTGTGTAGACGCTGCGAATGAAGAAGAAGCGAATATTGGTAAATAAAAATTTATTTAGCTTATTATGATTATTATTATTATTACTGATCATTTGCATATTTTCTGAAATAGCGGCGAAATGCTTGTCAAATGTCAACATAGAAAATAAAACAGTTAGCGAAATTGTTGCTACAATTATACCGAAACTATGCGACTATTTCCGAATCGCGCTTCCTAAGGACCTTTCAATGAACTCTTTAAGTAGATTTAGCCGTGTATCTTCTTCGACTTCTTCGTCCTCTTCTAGCCAGGGAAAAGTTCAGTCTAAGACTCCAGTACCAGTCGTTCAAACGCCTGTCATGTTGCTTAATAAAGATTTGGCTGAATTGAAACATTTCCGGTATAAATATCCTTTAAAAAAATATAAAATTAAATTTATATATATACCTTCTTGAATTTTAAGTCTTTTGCGGTTTCAATATAATAATTAGGTATAATGCTGAACTACTTTGTGCAGACGAAATTGGTTTTAAAATAGTTGTATCGATGCCGGTAATGCGCCTTGGTCTTAGTTTAGAAGCCTGTGAAGCTTGGAACTTGGATCCTGAACGGTAACGAACTCCATTATCTTTTCATTTGTTATAAAATTCTAATTATGAATTAACTTTATACTTCTTATACTTGTAGTTTTTTGGTATGCATTATGCAATTTTCACCTAGTTATATTGATTTACAAGGTGTAATTTCTAATGCCCTTCAAACAAAAGCATATCTTATTAAAGAAGGGGGAAGTTATCAAGATATTAAAGATTCATTAAAAAAGCAGTTCCCCATAACGTTTACAGTGTTAACATCATCATTATCAAAGGGCATGCCAAGTCAATCACATCACAAAGATGATACATTGGAAAGTGATCATTTTGTCCTTTCTTGGACTTTAACCGAATTATTACGACAAAAATTCTTTGATATGCTATGTGATCGAATGTGGTTTGGGATAGGTTGGTCAGGCGCAGAATATGCGGATTTAAAAAGGAATAAAGAGCTGAAATCGGATTTCCTTAATACCGAACGGTCGTTATTTGTAGATGAATGTCTTTCGCAAGATGAAGAACAACATGGAGTCTTATGCTACCTTGAATCAGAGGAGATGGAAGTTTCAACAGCTTCGGCAAATAGGAATTTTCTTTTATTGGTTTTAAGATTTTTGCGACGGAGGATATTACTTTCGACCAAATATTGTCTTACATGTCATTACCCTCATACAGAATCAGTGTCATCTATCAGACCTTTTGTTTGTGGTTCGGCTTTGTGTCAGCATCAAGCACTTGTAGGATTAGGCAATCTCTTTGAGGCTGTATTGGTAAATAGTCCTGTGGTCGTTGATTTGTTGATATCATTATGTCATGTAGCAATAAGTGGGCAAAATTTAAGTCCATTTCCAAGTAGAGCAATAGGTGTTACTACTACTACTAAATATGATGTTCAGAATTCATTAGTAGTAGATTGGGATAACAATATAGGTACTGTTGGTACACGTACAGAAAAAGGTTATACCGTTTATGGATGGAAAGGATTTGATGATCAAGTTATGGTCAACGATATGTTGGAAGTATTTCATCCGGAAACAGGCCTACCTTTTACTGTAAACAGATGCAGTCATGCCACGTCTGTGCGTGTTTTGGAAGTTTCGGCAAATACTTTAATAATTGATTTTCCAATTACCGTGTCTACTTCAACTGTACCTAATCGTCATGTTTATTTACCATTTCGTGTTCATCGCCGGAGCGAAAGAAATTTTTTAAATTCTGATAACACTCCAAATTATTCACTTTTACATACTATCATCGATAAATTACCTGCAGTTAGCATGATGGTTCAATATGCAAAAAAAAAAATCTTAAAAACTGAACTCGACAAATTGGATCCATTGTGTTTCCCCCTCTTATCATGGATAATTTCTTCTAATCGAACTCATTTACGTTTATTGGAATCTGAGGAAGAAAAGGTTCAATTTGATCAAAGTGATACATCATATAATAATTGGAAACAATTTGTTATGATTATGAGTTCACCAGAGAAAGAAGAAACTTTTCAGAGAGAGAAAGAAAAACTAAGAAACGAAAGAAGAGGTCAAGGTAATCATCATGATGTTATTATTCAAAGAATACACATTGATTATCATTTTAAAAATAATTTCAAACTAGTTTTAGGAGAATTGTTTGCTTTTCATGGTTCACCTCTACACAATTGGCATTCAATTATTCGGTAATAAAAATTTTCAAGCGTTTCTACTTTATGTAAATTATCCTAATTCGCATTTTTCTTTAGAACTTCTTTAAATTGGAAGAAGGTCGTACATGGACGCGCCTTTGGTGATGGCGTATATCATTCTCTTCAGGCTCAAACATCCTCGTCGTATGCAGGAGCTTCTTATTATCATCGCCAAGATAACGGTTATTGGAAAAATTCTATGTTAATTGTGCAAAAGTGTATGGCACTCAGTGAAATTGTTAACCGACCATCACAATTTACCAGGTAATTAGAAAATCTATTGTTATTATTATTATTATTATTATAAACTAAAATAATTTATAAATTTCTTTTTGCAAGTACAAATCCTCATTTGGTTGTCCAGGATGAATCTTGGATTACAACACGTTATCTTTTTGTTGAGTGTTTAAGAGATCCAATGGATTCAACAAACGATGAAGAAGAAGATTGGTCAACTAGTCAAAATAATAACAATTTTGTACCATCAATCCCATTGTCATTAACAAATCCGTTAACGTCTTGGGCTCGTCGTCCGAGAGATAATTCGGAGTATATAACATTGGATCGTACATACACACCTGTATGGTTAAACAACCAACCTTTGCAAATTCCCATTCGAGATTTTTCTATTATTAATAATGATATACCCGATGAAAGTTCGATTGGAATTGGTCAGTTCAATTATGACCTTTTCGATTCACAAGATTTGATCAAGGGATCTGTTATATCGTCAAATAATCGATCGACAATTTTCGATACTATCGACGAAGATACTATGGACGAAGATGAGGATACTGAAGATGATATGGACGGAATTGACAATGACGAAGATGATTTTGATTATGATGATAACTTTGATGATGATGGATTTGAATTTCAAGAAAATGATGATAAAAATAATGATGAAATAGATGATGACGACGACGGTAAAGCAAACAGTATTATCGAATAAAATAGTAATTATATACCTATTTAGTTACTACTAATATTCATTCTACAATTTAATAGATGGCATAGACCTTACGTTACTACCTATCCCTGGTATGTAATAAATAAATATATATATATATATCCTTTTCCATTTCTATCAAAATAGGATTAACATTGTTTTAATATTCTTAGCCGAATCTTCTAAGGGAGCTACTCAACGTATTTGCAAAGAACTAAGAACAATTATACACAAACAATCAGAATCATCTAATGATTTAGGATTCTTTATTGATACCAATAGATTACGATCAGTATATCAATGGGTTTGTAATATTTTATTATGTATATAATATTCTTTAATATCAAAACGTGATTTAATTTTAAAAATATCATTTATATAGGTTGTTCAACTTACGAACTTTGATTCTAGTCTACCACTTGCGCAAGACATGGCAAGAAACAGAGTAAATTCTATTGATTTGGAAGTTAGATTTGCACCTGATTATCCTTTTGTACCCCCGTAAGCTATTAAAAAAATTTTCTCGACTTATACATACATACATACATACATATAATTTACTTTATGATCTCGTTGTATTTAGATACGTTCGTGTTATTCGTCCTAGGCTTTTGAGATTTATGGATGGAGGGGGTGGTCACGTAAGTATTTGCCAATCTAAATTTTTTTACAAATAGTTCAATATTTCCAATCATGAATTTGAATAGGTTACTGCCGGAGGATCTATATGCATGGATCTCTTAACCCTTGGAAATGAACGTGAACGTGGATGGTCATCTGTTTATGCTATGGAAGCTGTATTATTACAGGTATTCGAATTATTAATGTTATTTATTTACCATGATGATTTATAAATCAATTAAAAATCTTTCAGATCAAGATAGCATTGAGTTCTTTGGATCCAAAACCAGCAAGGCTTGATCGTAATTGGAATTGCGAATATAGTCCTGGGGTAAGTATATTCACTTATATAGTACGATTATTTTGTATAAATAGCAAAACGATATTTTTTAAATTTATAGGAAGCCATTGATGCGTATATACGAGTCGCTAATCAGCATGGGTGGGCTGTACCGCAAGGATGGAGCTCTCTGTTTGGTCGTTAAATGATAAACCAACAATTTTTATTCAAAATTATTTAAACTTATGGTTAATTGATGATTGAACTCATTATGCCTTATTTTATTACTTTATATGCTTTTGCATAATTATTGCATTTTTAAATAATTATAATCTTTTATTGCAAGCAAAAGTATTGTAGATAATATAACGTTTCCGTTATTGAATTTATATACAGTTATGAAAATAAATAAAATAAATAATGTAAAAAATTATCTTTGATGACGTTTCTTCATTCATGTGATGTGTGTGACTGATGATGTAAAGTTCGATTTTTATCGAAACACCAAACGTTTGCTCGAATTAGTATTATTTGGTCACTCACACCAATCCATCTATTGGTTATAGAAAAAGGGTTCTCATTCTTTGCCAAACATTTATTTATTTTAGTTTTCATTTTCATTTTTAACACTTTCGTCTTTCGTATCCAAGCAATTTGTCCTACTATATTTATTTTAAATAATATTAACATTTATTAAATATGGTTGAATCTCAAACACGCGAAGATTACGTTTACCTCGCCAAGCTCGCTGAGCAGGCTGAGCGTTATGAAGGTGAGGATTGGTGAAATCAGTTAAGCATCCGGTATCATCTATGTTCACCTATTGAACGTGTTAATTCTTTGAGAATCTATATTGGATTATGGTTATGTAATTCTTTCGGACTAAGGTTCATTCAAAATAAGCAATGAAAAGTATATTAACTTGTTGAATATAAGTTATGACTGTGGGTATAGGTTACTGGTCATCTGCTCGCGTGCAAATACAAGAATACTCGTATAAGAACCATGTCATTATAGTCTAGGAAGTAATGTTATAAAGTAGACTCAAATATAAGAATGATCAACAAAATAATAATAATGTTCAACTCAAAATCACAAATTATATAATAGAAATGGTCGAAAACATGAAACAAGTCGCTTCTGCTGATCAAGAACTAACTGTTGAAGAACGCAATCTCTTGTCCGTTGCCTACAAAAACGTAATTGGAGCCCGAAGAGCCTCTTGGCGAATTGTCTCCTCAATCGAACAAAAAGAAGAATCTAAAGGGAACGAGACTCAGGTTGGCTTCATCAAAGAATATCGTTCAAAGATCGAAGAAGAATTGACCAAAATATGTGATGATATCTTGGAGGTACTGGACAATCACTTAATTCCTTCAGCTGCTACCGGTGAATCTAAAGTATTTTACCATAAAATGTTTGTAATAATTTTACTTTTATTTATTTCATTATTACAAATATATTTTAATATTATTTATATGTTTATCTATTTTAGGAAAGGTGACTATCATAGATATCTCGCAGAATTTGCTACTGGTGATAGGAGAAGTCAATCTGCAGACAAATCCTTGGATGCGTATAAAGCTGCTAGTGAAGTCGCAGTCACTGAACTTGCTCCAACTCATCCGATTCGATTGGGGTTGGCCTTGAATTTTTCAGTTTTTTATTATGAAATTTTGAATTCTCCTGATAAAGCCTGTCATTTGGCCAAACAAGCATTTGATGATGCTATTGCCGAATTAGACACTCTTTCTGAAGAAAGCTATAAAGACTCAACATTAATTATGCAGCTATTGAGAGATAATTTGACACTTTGGACGTCAGATATGCAGGACAGCAGTATGTTAAATTGCATATAATAATCCTTTTGATTTATATATATAAAATATATTTTTTTAGGTTAATAATATATTTTTTTCTTTTGCTTAGCTGAAAAGACCGAAGCTCCGAAAGAAGAAGAGACCACTGAGCCAAAAGAAGAAGCTTAATATCATTTTAGCATTTCAATATATATATTATTATATAAAACAGTTCATCCCTTTAGCGATTTTTTTTCGAGTGCCTTAAAATTATAATGAAGTAATTTGAGTGTCAAAATATATATATATATATGGGATGTCTGGTTTAAATAATTTGATCATTATTTTATTTACATTTATTTCATTTCATTTTTGTTCACTCAGATAAGGATAAATATAGAGCATTTGTAGAATCTGGGTTTGGCTTATTATTATTATTATTATCATCATCATTATTATTATTACTATTATTATTGTATTAGAGCAATATATACAATAAGGTGTCGTTTGAAATGGTGGTTTAGTAGTTCTTTATTTGTTTTCTTTATTCGAATCTCAAACGATCTATTTTTATTATTAAATTAACAAATGTATTCAATAAAATGATTTGGGTTCGTTGTTTATATATAAGCAATTAGAAATAGATATACTAACGTTTTGAATTAGGAACATAATCAATTTAATAATTTATTATTTAAATAAAAATTTATTATTAATAATATAAATATAAGATGATGCATCTTTTAAAATCATATCTAAAAATTAAGTTTTATTGTATATTACTTTAAAATATAAGATTTTAGGATCTTATAAAAAGATTAAAACATGAATAAAAAAAAATCTTTTAAAACTAATTAAAATTCATTCTAATGTTAATAAAAATTATAATAATGCAAATAAAAAAAAAAAAATCAAAACTTTTATTTCTTTTTTAATTATAAATAAACAAATAGTTAAATTTATTTATAAACTAAAAACAAGTTTAATCATTATTAATATTATATTATACTTTCTTTTATAAAATGTATCAATAAATTTAATTTTATTTTTTAAATTATAATAGTTTTATTTATTATAAATTTTCTTTTAATTTACTTTTATAAAAATTAAAAAGTTTTTTTTATAAAATTAATTTTATAAATATATATTTGTATTAATTATATAATAAAAAAAAATCCTAAATTACTTATAAGCTAAAAATTTTAATTTTTATAAAATTTAAGAAAATTTTTAAAAAACTATTCTATTATAATAAATTTTTTAAAATTAAAATTTAAAATTAATAAATATAAAATATCTTTAAATAAATTTATTAAATATATATTAAATTATATTTTTATATAATTAAAATTAATTTTTTAAGTTTGTATTAGATTACAATATATATATTACAACTTAGTTATTACTTAATTAAGTATAAATAATATAATCTACTTAAGACAGACAGTATAATCTACTTAAGACAATAATATAATTTACTTAGAAAAGATAATATAATCTATTTGAAATAGATGATTTAACTATAATATAACAATATTTTATGATTTTTAATTATTATATAGATATTCATTTGTTTTTATTGCTTTATGACCTTTTTATTATCTTATAATTATCTACGTATTTTTTTGCTCTATTCTATTTATTATTTGTAACATCTACTTGATTTTAATATTGTGTAATCATTTTATGATTAAGAAACCAATTAGTATTGATTGTAAAAATTAAGTTGCAATCAGATGATCTAGTTAAATCATATGATTTTGTTTTATTAATTTCAATTTGAATTATTATAATTTACTATATTAAAAAAAATCATATACAGATATATTTACCTAATCTGTTTGATTGCTAATATAAGACATAAAATGTTGAATAATTTTCTTAGAGAAGTTTACATTTTTATATACTCAGGTAAAAATAATGATAAATGGTAAAAAACTGATAATTTAGTAAATCAAATAGTGAAACATACTATTCTAATATTTGAAGTATGTTTTTCAAGATATTAGGTCTTATTTATATTTGATAATATGTTAAGTTATTCTATATTTATTAGATGCATTTATTATTAAATATATGAATTTTAACTCTAAAGGTAAGCAGCTGAAAATATGTAAAATATATTTTAATGAAAAAATTTCACAAAATATAATATTTTCTTTAGATTATCACATACTTAAATTGTGTAAATAACTAAAAAGATTAAAATAAATTCTAAAAAAAAAATTATAATTGAATAAAAAGTTAAAATTAAAAGAAGTACGAAGAATAATAAGTTAATAATAAGATTTCTTAACATAAAAAAAATAATTAAAAGAGATTATTATTACAGCTAAACATCAAGTTATATTCTATTCTAAATTTTATTATAAGTTTAACTTTATTGAAAACTTTTGGAATGTAGCTAAGAAATATAGTTAGTCACATTGTGATTATTTATAAATAGAATTAAAAAAACCATTTTATTAATACTTACTTTTGTTTCACTTATAATTATTTATTAGTATACAAAAAATTATTTTATTATATTAATATATATAAAAAGATTTAATAGGTAAAGTAGTAAAATTTGATATTAAAAGATATTATTTTATATCACCAAATTTTTGAATCAATTTTACAATTAATTAATAATTTGAGATTAGTTTATTTAATGTATTTTATATATAAGTAAAAAAAAAAAAGAAAAATTAATATAATAAAAAATCCTTATATTCTTGATCTTTAAAAAATGTATATAGGATATTAATATATATAATCTTCTCTAAAAATTTCAAAGATTATATGTATTAATATCTTATACACATAAATCCTTTTTTTAACTATTAAAATTAGTATCATATATTATGTATTATTCACATGCTTTTTTACTTCAAAATAAAATAGAAAAAAGTTTTATTCTTTATTAAATTATATGATAAATGTGACTAATTAATGTTAATCAGCTAATCAAAAATAAGAATTTAATAATGTGTATCATATAATAGTATGATCAAAAAATCTGATTGATAGTAAAATTCCTTAACTTTAAAATATTATTATTCTTTAAAAAATAATAAATTGGTTTAATTTTATTATTTCAAAGTTATATTTTATGATTATTATTTTTTAAATTAGTAATAGTAATTTGAATTTTATTAATTTTATTTATTATAACTAAATTATATATACTATATTTTTATTATATACTTTATTATTTTATTTATTTATTTGAATATTAATATAATATTTAGAATTATCTCAAATAATTTTACAAGGAAAGTGGATTGTATTTTATTATTTTATTATTATTTATTATTATTTATATAATTTTTTTTATTTTTAATAGAAAATTAATCAATAAGTTTTAGTAATATTTTTGTTATATTTTTTTGCAAATTTATATTAGATTTCTATTATTAATAAAATTTTAATATTTAATAAATTTATTTAAATAAAAATATATTAATTTTATATGCTTATTTAATCAAATTTATGCTGAATTGCTTATCTAATCAGTATTAACTAATAGTATTTTAAGATGATTTATAGTTAAATTTAAATTCTAAATTAATGTTAAATTGATAATAAATTAAGGTCAATTTTAGGCTATCTTATGATGTTTAAGTTTTAAATTGATATTGAATTGCTTATTCAATCAGTATTAATCAATGATATTTTAGACTAATTTATTATTAAATTTAATTTCTGAATTAATGCTGAATTAAGACTGAATTAAAACTGATTTATAATTGAATTTAAGTTTTAAATTAATACTGAATAGTTTTATCTAATTGTAATTAATTGATATATATTTATACTAATTAAAAAATATGACTAATTAGTCATAATAATATTAAAATTAGTTTAAAATTAGCTATTAAATTTTTAGCTGATTTTATTATTTTAATCTGTATAGAAAAAATAGAAATCTAAAAATTTTAAAAAATTCATTATTTTCTAAAACTTTAATATTTTATAATTTTTTGATAAAACTTTCTACCTAAAAATTTGCAAAAATTTGTGAAACCACTATTTTCTGAAAAAAATATTAAAAAATTTTTAAGAAAATTAGCTTAAAATTAAAACTTTAATTAGTTCAAATTAATCTAAAAAATTTTAGTTCAGATTAACTTTAGTTTAGTTTCAGATTACAAAAGAATCAATCTGAAAATTTTTAGTTTAATTCAGATTATAAATCTAATCTGAATTAAAAAAATCTGAACTTAAATAAAAATTTCAGATTAATCTAAATTTTAGATAATTTGTTATAATTCATTTTAAATAAATAATAAGAAAATTGTTTATTTAAAATGATAATAACTTTATTTTAAATAAACGATAAGAAAATTATTTATTTAAAATGATAATAATATCATTTTAGATAAATAATAAGAAAATAGTTCGTATAAAATAATAATATTATTATTTATATAAAATGATAATAATATTATTCTAAATTAATTATAAGAAATTATTTATTTAAAATGATAATAACATTATTTAATGAATGATAAAAAGATTGTTCATTTAAAATAATCATAACATTATTCTAAATGAACAATAAGAAAATTGTTTGTCTAAAATTATAATAATATTATTTCAAATAAATAATAAAAAAATCATTTATTTAGAATGATTAATATATTATTAGATTACTGTATTCTTTTAAAAATAAGTAAAATGTGATAAATATTTATTAATTAATGTCTATGTAAAGTATAATATAATAAAAATATATAACTTATAAAAAATTACTATAAAAGAAGTGTATCATATATTGCTTATTTTTGAAAGTATATAGTAATTCAAAATTTTTCAGTTTAATTCAAATTTTTATTAGTATATAATTCAGTTTATTTCAAATTAACATATAATTCAAACTAAACTAAATCATTTAAAATATTACTTAAAATACTGTATATCTTATTTTTATACAAACAAGATTTTTTTACCCTTAGTACTTATATTTTTATATTATTATCTTATAGTATAATTATTAATTACCTTTAATCTGTTTTCATATTCCTATATAAATTTTACATGAATCAGTCAAAATTATTTTTATTAAATTTAAACAATTGCTATTATATAATATTAATTTATTATTGATCTTCTTTTTATGATTATAAATAATATTATTATTACACTTAAAATAAATGTATAAAAATTTTTTTTTTATAAGTGCAACAGTTTTACATAATCTTTAT